AACAATCGATTCTGCACGAACCAGGTTCCGCATGGCAGCGCGATTGAACAGCATGGCGCCTTAGTTGTTCTAGCATTCCGTGGCAAACCCACATGTGGTATGCTCGCGGTGACGTCCACGCGGTAGCGTGGCTGGACGACGCCATCGCACCTTATTGTAATACCCGCCACCACGCCCTTTTTTCTACCACCTAACCGAATAGCCGAATTGGAAGCATTCGCAGTGTCTTACAACGTTTCGTTATATATGCGACGAGTTTTGTTGGATTGCCTCGGCCGATGTCCCTGTTGAGATGGCGAGCTATTGGTTTCAGGCGTAGTTTGGGGCGGGTGCCTGATCCATCAATAGACCATTTTGCGCCGATCCCACGGCTTCAACCGACATAGCACATATTTCAAAATCTTGTTTATGAGAAAACAAATAGTGTCGCCCCCTCGATTTTCAAATGCTTTGGAGTTCATGGTGTTCCCTAGGATTTCAACAACCAGGAGTCGGGCAGCACAGCAAGCATTGCCGGGCAACAGCAAACATCGTAATAGTTCCAAATGTTTAAGAATTTTCGTAGTGTGCCTGATCTCTTATTCCTGGGATTTAGTTGGGCCCGAGACTTTAAACACCAGGGATCAGGCAGCATAGCCAAACTTGTAAGGATGTTTGTTTTTAAACTTTGATTGGGCTATTTTACCTGATCCCCGATTACTGGGATTTACTTTGGCCCAGGAGCTCAACCACCAGGGATCAGGCAAACTAGCAACAGTTGTAAAGGCTTTCAAAAGATTTGCAACTTGTTATTTCACCTGATCCCATATTCCTGAGAGTCTCTCGGGCCCAAGAGCTCAAACACCAGGGATCAGGCAGAATAGCAACATGTAAAGATTTCCCAGGTATCAGAAGTTGTGCTATTTCGCCTGCTCCTTATTCCTGGGATTCACTTTGGCCCGGAACTTCAAACTCCAGGGATGAGGCAACATAGCAAACATTGCTTTTTCACATAGGAATTAGAGCACTTGCTATTATGCCTGGTCCCTGAGTCCTGGGATTCACTTTGGCCCAAGACCTCAAAAACCATGGACCTGGCAAACTAGCAAAACACATCAAGTCTATTTGTTGTAGACCAAATTGCTATTTTACCTGGTCCCTGATTCCTGGTTCACTTGAGCCCAAAACCTAAACAACCAGGGATCCGGCAAAATAGCTAAACATTTCCATGTTTTGAAAAGCTATGTTGCCTGATCCATGATTCCTGGGATTCACTTGGGCCCAAGACCTCAACAACCAGGGATCCAGCGAGATAGCGACACATGTTTAATTTCATCATATGTAAACGCTTAGCCTCGCCTCCGGTTTTTTTGAACATTCTAAAACATATGCAATTTCAGTGAATCTTAGGATTCTTGAATCCGGCGCGTTGAAGGTCATCAGTTTTGGTTACGAAGGAATCAGCAACAGGGACGGCGCAAAGCTGAAGCATAATTATGCGCGAGAAGCATAATCAAGACAGAAGCTGGAAACTCGCCGCTTGGAGGTACGTCCGAGAAGGGGGCGGGGGGGTGACTGGGGAGTGATGCTGCTTGGCCGTGCCCCTCCCCCCTCCCCCTTACACTCCTTTTCGCCCTCCCCTCCCGCCCCCCCACCCTCACCCCCGCCTCCTCTTCGCCTCCATTTCCACCTCTTTTTCACCTTTAACCCCTCCGCTGGAGTTCCAGATCTCAAGGTGTGCAACAAGAGCCACAGAGTAACGCAGAACCAGTGCAAGGTAAACACCGGCAAGACACATGGGGAAAGCAGGATAAGGCCTCCGACAACGTCCGACCGTCCGCGCGGCGGGACACCCCTCCCGAGTACATTGGATCTTTTGGTCGCAAATCACGGGAGCCTTGTGTACCCTAGTAATTCTGTCTTTCGCGTCGATTAGCGTCTGGGAATCGATGAGATAGCGCACATGTAGCGTCGATTAGCGTCGATTTAGCGTCGATTTAGCGTCGACTAGCGTCGACTCGCAATAACCGACAAGATGGTATGGGAGGCTCCCACGACTTGCCTCCGAAGGATCTGGCACTCGGATCTCGGCCTTCCCTCAAGAGAGGCGGCGACCTCGCAGCATCATCACTGCGAGGCTGGTGCGGACACCGCTCCTCAGACAGCGCGTGCACACGATGCCTCGCGAAAGCCCCCCACACTTGGGGCACCAGATTCAAGTGGCCTACAGTGGAGGCACATGCCAAGAATCACCCTGCTCGCCTCCAGGGCGCCCTGGTGTTCTTGGGCTTCGAGGGTTTTGCCATGGAGAGCGCGATGTTCCCACATCCAAAATCAATGGACGTCCTAGGGTCTCAGGGTTTGATTTCCTGTGGACGGTCTCTTGTGGACTGGGCTCCACTGCACGCCATTCCGACGACCCCCCAGAAGGAACGAGTGATTGCGACGATCTTGGAAGTCATCTGGTTGGTCAGGACCTTCTTCAATGCATCCGAGGGGGCTCGTGGGATGCCTCTCAGGGGCCTCTTGGAGGGCTCTTGGGGGAAGGGGGAGAGGGAAAGGGGGAGGGGGGCAGCCAAATGTCTCACACGCCTTTTCACCCCCGGCAGTCGGGGGAGAGCAGCCCGCCCATCACCCCAGAGTTTATGGGCGGGATGTGCCTGTTTCACAATCCCGGGCCAGCCTGTCACCTGTATGAGGCCAGTCTGGAATACGTCCTAGCCAGGCCTATACATCCTACCCACATGTACCCTTTGCCGTAACAAACAACCATACGTCCGCTATGCTCGGGAACGAGGATGATACCAGTATACCTAGGGCGTACCCCCCTTGGCGACCGCCGTGACCACATCGCGAAGCGGGCTGCAGACTCGCTCAAGCACAGCATCCGTAAATTGGCCGAGCCTCGGAATGTTGCCTTGCTGTTCTAAGAACGTATGGAGAATGCGGAACCGCACTCGCGGCTCCTTTCGCCGCTTGATCCTCAACTCCATAAATTTCCCAGGCCCAATACGGGACCCCGAGTTTCACGGCAACGTGCCAAATCTGAGAAGCTTGAGTTTTCACGATGGAAACTCCTTCAGGTACCCGATTTGGTCGGCGGAATAACCTTCCTCCGAAAACTCTGCGTACGGCATGCTAGACACATCAGTCTCTGTCGCCTGGGCCCAGGCCTTCATTAACTCCTCAGTCCGTCGCACACACACACAAAATTTGGCCCCAGGAGCCAGACGGCCATCAACACAGCAATCGCCTCAGCTCCACACATAAAATGCAGCCCATGCTCCCAGAGCCCGCACGCACTAGCCAGAACGTGCTCAGCGTCGTTGGCAACCTCTAGTGCCCACGCAGCGTGAGTGAAAAACTGCAGTTCGGGCTGCAAATCCGAGCCGTCCGTGAAAACGTTCCCGCCAATCCAGCCGCGATGAGGAGGAATCATCCAACGAAAAGCCGTGACACCGCGCAACCTGGGGGTGTATCGAACAAAAGAGGCTACCTGGGGTCCTCAGGATCACCACGCTGGCGCGCTCGTAGGCAGGACAAGCCGAGCCCTCTGCGAAAGACAGCCTGGTCATGACGGCAGAAGAGACGATGATGCCGAGTGCCTCACCTGCCCCCCCCCGCCTCCTTCACTTCCACCTCCCTCCCTGCCATCCCCCCTTCCTCATCACCTCCACCTCCACCCTCTCCCTCCTCCGCCCCTTTCTTCCCAATTAGGGGGGGGACAGGACACGATGCCCCACTTTCCTTGGCTGCCCGCTCCGAGAAGGGGCAACGAGGATCAGGCCGGCGGGCGCACGCGGGAGGCTCCCGTGCGTCCTCGAGTTCAAACGCGCGCAGAACATGCAGTTGCTGCCCCGAAAGGACCACTGCGAGCAAGCCCGTCTTCACCTCCCGATGGCGGCACCTTGTCTTTTTTGGGGGGATCTCCAGGCATTTCTGAGATCCGTGCGCTGCATTTTTGTTCACACCCGACTGTTCCGCCCGGTTTCTGGCCCCGGGGCCGCCACATCGATTCGTTCGCAATGTCGGGTCTTTGGGATTGGTCAGTTGGTGCGGACTACGGGTGGTTTGAGACTTTTCGCGAGGCTCATTCGCACAGGGCTCAGGGCTCCAGTGGGATTGGGGAACGGGTGGTGATGGTGGGGAGCTTGTCGCGCGCAGCTTTTTCCGCTCCCGCTGCTTAGCGCTTTTCTTCGATGCGTGGGCTCGCCTGGTGCCTCAAGATTCCTGGGGAAGCAGTTGCGATATGTCACGAAAAAGGAATACCCTGTCTTGTCCAGGGTTGGCTAGAAGGGCGAGAGACTGGAAGGGCTGGAAGTGTTTGGCGGGGTCGTCCAAGATCGGTGTAAGGACTAGTGGCAGTGAGCTCTTCTAGATTTCAGCGTCCCCTCTTCCTCTTTCAGTGCGCTCTCTTGCCCAAACACGTCCGCGCGCATGTCTCGGGCCATGATGCGCTAACCCCCCTCTTTCTGGGCCCCCTCCTCGGCGCACCTGGGCCGAAGGATTGGCCTGAGGGTTGGCCCAAGGGTTGGCCGGGGTAATTCTTGGACATGTAACCTCTTATCAGGAGGAGGAGGAGGAGGAAGAGGAGGAGGAGGAGGAGGAGGAGGAGGAGGGACCCCTCCCCCTGCTACCCCCCTTCGCCCTCCAGAAGACGCCCCCCACCCTCACCATGAGCACCACCTCCGCTACCCCCTCGAGGATGTGTCGGCGGCGAGCGAGGGGGGAAGTGAGAAGGGGCGGGCCTTTTCACAAGGCTCATAAGCCCCCCAGCCTTTGAGAAGTTTCTTAAGCCTTTCCCGAAGACAGGGAACACCTCTCAGAAGGCGCGAGGGCTCCTGAGAAGTCCCGCCGCCTTCTGAGAAGGCCTTCTCCTTCCCCCCTCGCTCGCCGCCAAAGGTGGCGCTGTTTTTCGCCTGCGCCCGCAAGAGAAAGGATCCCAGCGGCGCCGCGCGGGAGGAGGCTGAGGTGGCCAGCCGCCGTGAGGCCGAGGAGCAGCCGCTGCTCGACTCACGGAGATGGGGACGCCGAATACTTCCTCGGAGATAGGGGTATCGCCACCCACCAGACCACCCTAACCCAACCCTCAGAGGAGGAACAAACATCCAGGCGCATACCTCTACCCTTCCCTCGTTTTCCCCTGTTTGGGCCTCCTGGGAGGCCCTCGTCGCCACCGCTGGATTCGCCTCGAAATCCTGGTCGGAACGCACCCCAGGAGAAGTCCTAGGAGTAGCAGTATCGGTATTGTTTCGCTTCCCCAAGATCGGGGTGTCGCCACCTACCAGACCACCCCAACCCGACCTGAAGGCTCCATAGTACCCACCATGCCCAGTGTGGGGTGGGTGGTGGGGGGAACATAGAAACAAACGCGTATGAAGCCCGTGCCCGCCCCCCCCCGAACAACAACACAACGAAGATCGGGTCTTCGGGTTGGGTTGGGTTCGGGTTGGGTTGGGTTGGGTCGGGTTGGGGTCGTCAGGATGGTATGTTCCCGAGGTTGGACTGATTCGTGCGTGCAGACCGTCAGAGGAAGGCGAGTTGAGACAGTGGCAGTCGACCTTCGGGGGGGGCCTCGTCGCCACGGCTGGACGCAGCTCGGAACATCTGTGCTCTTGGACCCCTGGGAGGGGTCCAGGGACCCATTTGAGCCGCCGTCGTCTCAGCTCGCCTTTCTCTCCGAGAAGGTCAGGCGATTTCTAGGGGCCCACGGGGCGTCCCTCAGAGGATAAGTACATACCGATGCCCCGATACCCTTGCCTCGAAAACTGTGCGGTGCCGTCGCCGAGAATTCGGCACTGACAGCGAACGGTTTTTCTTCTGAGTTGTTGTCGGGCAGCTGAAGCCACATGATCTGAAACGGAAGTACTGCCTTTCGGTAGATGACCTTCTAAGATGGAAACGGTATCCATGTCTGTACGTAGCGATCGGGGCGTTGTAGTTTCATTTGGTGATGGCCAAAGTATGGGGTTACTAGCCTGAGACCTGTGATATTATGATTTATTTGTAAACCAAGATGATATGTTATGCGAGCAGCTGGCTTTGACAGCGAAACGTGATCCATTCGTATAGCTGCTGGAGCATGGTAAGGCGACTGCACGGGGCGCCAAGGCGAAACCAAACCATTGATAATCACGTGCACTCCGTTCATCGGTTTGTGTAGTGCTCGGCGGATGTGCATGGCATTAGTGCGAGAGTCACATTTCGAAAACACCTCCCTCTTCTCGCACCTCCACTCCCACTCCCCTCGTCCTTACCGCAGCAGGTTCTCAGAACACTACGGCATGCTTGCGATCCGGCAGAGCTTTCCAACAATCGTAGGTAGCTATTGCATAGCTTTGCCAGGGGCCTCATGGCCAACGTTCAATCTTCCAATCGAGCTGTGGGCTCATGATTTGGCTTGATTTCCATTTTCCTTCCCTGCATTCCGTCTTTCTCCATCCCGTCAACGTTTCCATCCTCCACCTCGCCCATTCGTTTTCTCTTAGCCGCGGGGTTTGGGACTTGAGTCCCCCCCGAGGGATAAACATATACATCGTTTAAATACCACGGGCCTATTCCTTCTCCTTCTCACGAGCGGCAGCCCGAAGCCGCATGGCCTCGAGTCCCGGGAACCGCCCGCCCTTCGCATCCTCCGTCCTGGGCGTCTACAGGTAGACCAAACGCTGTCGAGGGCGCTTGGCGACCAGCAGTCTCTCACGCTCCACCTCACGTAAGATGTGGAGAATGACGCCTGGCTCTCTATTCGACTGGAGATGCAATCCTCGGAGAATTCGACCGAGACGGCAGCAATGGGCAGAAGACGTGGTTCGACCGCGACGTTGCAACTCAAGAAGACCATCGCGGCGACCTGTGCTGTGCGCTCTCTAGCGGCGGCAGGAAACGAGGGAGGGACGAGATGAGAGTCGAGTGAAGACCAGGTCATGTCCTGTCTCCTCCCCATCCCTTTAAAACTATAGGTTAGCACGACGCCCAGGACACCCAGGCATGTCGGGCTGTGCCGCACACATAGCTCACACGCGTGTGGCAATCATGACACATGGAAATTCTGGGCGTTCCCAGACCGTACAAGCATGCCATCGAGCAGTATCCGTGTGTCCGGGCTTATGGGACCTTGGCTTCTTTCTCAGGTAATTGAGTGGGGGGGAAGAGAGGTAAGACCGCCTCCATCACCCTCGGCACCACCAGAGTCCAGACGAGCAAGGCGTCCAGACCAGCCAGGTCCGAAGGGTTACCCTGTTCATGCACGGACCGTGCTTCCTTAGCATACTTATCAGCAAGTAAGTTCGCAGGTGCTATTCTACCTTCATCAACTGGGATAACGTCAGGACCTCACAAGCTACAGTGCGCATTGGTGTGATGCACCGTGCCAACACACTGTGCACCTTCACACTCGAGAAAGCCACGCTCGAGCCCAGCATTCTTAGACTTACTGCGCAGCTGCTGTGTGTGCGACTTATTGCGCACACGCACCACGCCCAAAACATTCATAATAAACTTGCACCCCCTGATGTCCGAGAATGAAATTTATAACACACACACACTGCCTTCGGTTCTGCAGCTTGGAGGGTCTGCAGTAGGCTAGGCCAAATTGGCCCACGGAACCTCGCCACGACCTCCTCCGAGCTTGGAGCAAGGAGAAATCCTGCGTAGACGGCTCTCGTGAACTCCCGAGTTTCCGAGCGAGTGTACGACCCATCCACGACAACCTCCGACCCCCCTGGAGAATCGAACACCCCTCGAGGACCCTTCTGGCAGGGTCCAGCACTTAGTGGGCCCTAGAAACGACAGGGCCGTTTTTTTACCGGTTCCGTTTTCGCCGTTTTTTTTGCCGGTTTCGACGCCGTTTTTTTACCGGTTCCGTCGCCGTTTTTTGACCGGTTCCAGCGTCAGTTCCAATCCTGGAGCCGTTTTTTTGCCGTTTCCATTTTCAATGGACATTTTTTTGGAAACGGTGAAAAAACGGCCCTGCCGTTTCCGGGGCCCACAAAGGTCCAGCACCTGGGGGCAGGTGAGGTCCGCCGGGGAGGGAGAGAGCAAGAGGGGTGAACAAACACGAGGCGGTTCCCCAAATTTGGACGCCCGAAATGGGCACGGAAAAAATAGGTACAGTGTCCAACAACAAATGTTGTCCCAAACCAACAGCGGCCGCTGTTGTGCAGGCGGCCTTCTGTCTCGAATGGACACAGGCCGCGGCGGCGTGGACAGCGAATCCTGTTCAAAATGAACAGGAACTGTTCTTGGGCATTGTACCCATTCTTTCCGTACCCATTTCGGGCGTCCAGACCAAAAGTGAGTCTGGGTCGGCCTCGATTGCTTCCTGGATGAGCTCTGGGCTGGCAGCTCCCTCCCTGGCCTCCGACGCCCCAGAGCACTGGCATCTGCAACGGCTGTGGTGCAAGGTGTCTCGAGCTCCGCACCTGGGCCACATACCGTCTGACTCATGGCCAGCTCTCTGAAGCCTATCGTTTGTGAACATGGCGTTCGTGACACATGACGGTATCGCATATTTCTGTTTGGATGTGAACTTCTCACCTCAAACAAATTGTGCACAAACTCAGTGCATATACGCTGTTCACTCGTGTCATTAACAAGAATGGGCATGCCACGATCGTGCACACGCTGCACCGCTTCACGTAACTTGGCCCTGGTCATGCCGGGGGGAGGAGTAGAGGAGAGAGAGAGAGAGAGATCTCAACGCCTCGATTATCTATCTGTCCAGTGAAGTACCGTGGAGACCCATGCCAAGAAACACCCTGCTTGCCTCCAGGGTGCCCTGGGTTTCGTGGGTTTGGATGGTTGTTCTTTTGGAAAGCGTGACGTTCCCACACCAAAAAGCAAGAGACGTCCTGGGGTCTCAGGGTTGGGTTTCGTGTGGAAGGTTTCTTGTGGACTTGCCTCCACTGTATTTCATTTCCTATCCAATCTTCCTCACACAACACACCAGGTCGGGCTTCGTTGGAATCTTTGTTCCACCATCCCGTACATCCTCGTAAATTCATGAATCGTGACGAGTGCGCGCTCGGGTGTAACAACAGCTTGCCTCATGGCGGAAGTTCATTGGGTAGCAAGCGCCACACTGGCGTCAGCCTTCGGGTCGTCCGTGTAGGACTCACTTCGCTATCTCAGAGTCCCTTCGATGAGAAGGTGACCGAACACTTAGAAGAGTAGCGCGAGTCCGATTGAGCTCGTAGTCAGACATACCAGCAGCTGCACTGCCATGAGCCAGAGCAGGCTTCAAGCCCGCTGAGGGAACAATGGCCATTCGGTGCTTGCCATGATGGAGCCAGTTTCGAAAACGACGAACTCGAACGTGCCTAAACCTGAACTGCCGACAGCGTTGCTAGTCTTTGCGAAGAGTTTCCGTGCTGAGCGAACTTGGCCAGTAGTGAAGTCGACCCCGAGGTTGAGCGACGCTCGAGTGATCGATCCCGTTGGTCAGCTTCTCCGCTGAAGGTTGTGGGCCAGGGCTGCTTCGAACGACTGCGAACTAGTCACTGAGATGGCTTCAGGCTATGACATCTGCGCTCGAAGCTCCTCCATGAATGTCATGAGGGAATCAGCTGCTGCATCATATGCGACCACAATCAGCGTGCTCCTGGCATCTACAATCATTATGGTATCACCAGACACGTATGACGATACAATAATCAACGATACTCACCATCGTGCCATGTACGAGTCGAAGGATCCGATGGAATATACCTTGGCACAGACATCGATCAACGTGTCACTGCCTGGTAATCCTTTCGATGCAAAGAAGTGCTACCGCATGGAAGGTCGATCCGAGCCGCATCAGCTTAGGGGACCGTCAGATATTGAACACGGTCGGAACGATTACCCCCAGGACGCCCCACTGCTATTCTCGTGGTTTCAAAGCTTCAAAATCGAACGTCTCATAGTACTTCTTACTGTCCCATTGGATCCGAGGAACGCTTGATCTTGGGAAGCTGCCGCCTCTGATTCTGCCGTCTGAGCTTAGTCACATGACTCATCGCCTTTGCCAGCGTCGAAAGCGCAATAAGCCCGCTCCGTGGCAGCAAACAAGGGATCAAGCTGTGGGCGTCGAAGTAGCCCCCACACTCGAATGAACTTGCCAAGAGCAGAATCGCACGGTGCCCCCGTGCAGGTTCGTCAACAAGAGAGAAACCAAGCCATATAAAATGCCTTCGTCGAGCGTGGATGCCGTGAAGCCTGAAACGCTTCTCTTGATGTTTGGCGCACCTCCTCAATCGTAGCACGTGGGACACATTCACGATCTGGTATTTTTAGACGTCCGCGCTGCTCGAGTGACTTCGAGCTGCGCATTCTGTTATTGCACCCTTTCCTTTTGCCTCCAGCTTCCCTCTCCAAACATTGCGCTAGAGAAAAGTCACGATCTGGTACTTCAGCAGCAGGTGTTGTCACAGTCGCCTTCCACTGCGTCTGCAGTGGCTCAACCTCCGAATATAGTCGGACCAAGGTATAAGATCGAGGTCGGTTCGGGGAGGGTACCCTAGTGTTCTTCGTGTCTGTGAGATGCTCTCGTGCATCCTGGGGAGTGTACCGTGGGACGTTCTGTTTTGACCGACGGAGGGTGTCGTGTTCCTGAGGGATGTACTTCTGGCCCAGGTCCGACTGCACTACGGCAGCAGGTGCTGTCACAGTCGCGCTTTCACTGTGTCTGCAGCGGCTCGGCCCCCGGGCGTACGCGCTGGGGCAGTCTGCGCACACGCCGGGCGCCTCTGCCATGACGGTCGGGCACCGTTGCTGTTGGCGTCGCGCGACAGTGTGCGTAAGTTTTTCCGACCCCTGCACCGCGTTGTCGTCTTGCTCGTTCCAGGAAAGGGATCTCCATTTCGTCAGCTCTCGGTGGCAACTCATGGGAGCCTCTCATACTACCATGCCGGCGCTCGCGAATCGACGCTAAATCGACGCTAGTCTACGCTCAATCGGGGGTAATCGACGCTAGCCAACGCTAAATCAGCGCTACATCATCGACTCCCAGACGCTAGTCGACGCTAATCGACGCTGAAGACGGAATTGAGAGGGCGAGCATATCAGGTTCCCATGCTTTGCTACCGAGTCAGCTGGCTAGTAGCCTCGTCGAACTTCGCTATCCAATCTGCGCAGCACGGTCCCATCAAGGATGCCGTCTGGCTCAGCCATCGCAGATACGTTGTCGCAGTTTGTGTACCTCAGCATCGAGGTGAACATAATTGCTTTCACCAGGGTATGCCTCAAGCAGACAGGCTTGCTTACGACTCACAGCTGGTGGGTGGTTAGCAAGATCTGTCACATCAGCATTCACCATGACTTCGAGCTCACGCCATACTCGATGCAGCCACTGCCAACCAAGATAAACGTGGTTATCGGTGGTTGTGTTGTCTTTCCGCCCCAGCCCTGCGCCGAGCAAGATATTGATGGCGCATGGACTTGTCAATTGGGTGTTCCACAATGCTGGCCAACTCAAGCTCGGCATCCTCAAGAAAGGCCGACCACGCACTGTCGAGACAAGCCAAGGTTGATGAGACCATCTCGTGAGAAGCAGCAGTAGTGACCTCCTGCGCCAAGACATGTGTTGCCTCAAACGTTCGAGGACATGGGCGTGGTCCCGTGAGTGGATGCACGGGGAGTCCCTTATGAGCACAACACCAATTGTTTGAGCCAAGCAGCTCCTGAGCGCAGATGTAGACGTACAGGTTTCTGTGGCCCTCCATGCTATTCTGCCACCACGCGTACCTTGTCCACAAGACGGTCCACATCATGCGAACAGAGAAAGAAATCGAGCGTGGACGCACTGCTTGACCACATGCATGTGTGACGGGCTGGGGCCATCGTGATCAGGCCTGGTTTGTGGGCGACGCTACTTTTCTCGATCGTAGCTGGGTGAACAGTCCAATCAGCGCCCGCTACATTTGGCCCTCTAGTCTTGGGAGTACAGTGCGACTACGAGGAGAGAGGAGGACGACTACGACGAGGAGGTAGAAGACGAGTGGAGAGGGCGGCTGCGAGGAGAAGGAGGACGGTGATGAGGAGGACGACGAGGAAGCGGCGGAGGGTTGACGGCGACGAGGACGAGGCGGTTGGGGGGGGAGGACGAAGAGGACGGCGAGGAGGACGTGGACGAGGAGGACGAGGACGTTGGGGCGCAGGACGACGAGGAGGACGAAATGCTCGAGGATGGCGACGAGTTGGGCTCGCCCCCCGGGGCTGCCCAGGAGCCCCTCGGCGCCCGAGAAGCCCCGGCCCCTCGAGGGTGCGGCCGCGGGGCTGGGGGCCTGGTGGCGAGGCGGCCCCCCGGCGCGCGCGATCTCCCTCCCTCCCCCCAGCCTGCAGCCTCCCTCCTGGAGGGAGAAGTCATCCCTCCCCCCAGCCTCCCTCCCCACTCTCCCTCCCCACTCCCCCTCCCCACTCTCCCTCCCTCCCCCAGCCTCCCTCCCTCCTGGAGGGAGGAGTCCTCCCCCCCTTGGCTGCCTCGACACTGTAGGCCTCATGGATGGGGTCGGAGCGGATGGTGTCGGAGGACCGCGCCGCATCGCCGATGCATCGCCGATGCGGCTCGATGTGGAGCCTGATGTTCTCCACGCCGACGTCGCCGCTGCATCGCCGGCGTCGCTGGTGCATCGCGAATGCATCGGCGGAGGGAGGAGTCCTCCGCCCCTTCTAGCTGCCTCGAAGAAGGAAAAGCTATACACATAAACTTTTGGTGCTCCGCGCGGATTTCTTGGATCTGCGCTGGGACCCCCTGGCAGCGCCTCCGGCGCCGCCCCTGGCGCGCTGCGCGCGCCAGGGAGGGGGGTCCAGCGCAGATCCAAGAAATTCACGCGGACCGCCAAAAGTTTATGTTTGTGGCGTTCTTCTTTCTTCTTCTTCTTCTTCTAAGTCCCCTCCTCTTGCACAGAGGAGTCCTCACCCCCTTAGCTGCCTCGATACGCCCGTTTCGAAGCGCAACCTGTGCCGTGTTCAAAACTTCCGTGTTCCCACGCTGCGTGTTGGCTCAACGTGTTGGTCCACGTTTGGGCGAACGAGTCGCGCCAGACCTGCGTTTTCAGTCTGCGTGCTGAGCTCCGTGCCAACACGCTACGGGTTGCTTGTTGCGCATCGGGGCGGCTAAGTTACCCCCCCCTCCCCCTGGAGGGAGGAGTCGAGGGCGCCCAAACGGTGTGGTGACTACCCAGCGTGGTGGGTCAATGGGTATGCGGGGTGACCGCACGGCCTTGCGACTCGGGGGTCGTTCCCGAGGTCGTCTTGGTCGACTGGAGCCTCCGAGGTCCTGAGACCGTGCGGTGACGGACCGCGTCGTGAGGTCTCTTACAATTGCGAGGTCGTCGCGCGGGCCCCGATTCCCCCCAGGAGGGAGGAGGGAGGCGGGGGGAGGGGAGGGTCAGGATTAGGTACTGTTACCGCGACCTTTCCCGCGATTTCGCCTTTTTGTTGGCCTCGTTGATGGCCTCGAATTTCTGGGAGCGGTTGCATCGATATCTTCTGGTTCCCCAAGTGGCCCAGAAGGCGCGGAAGAAATGATTCATGGGCTTACGCCGCACCGCCGACCCCTTGGGACTTCTGGTAAGGCCTTGGGGGGGGGGGGTCCTTGCTGCACTAACAATCTGTCTCTGGCTATCTTGCGCGTGGTCTTACTTGTGCACTGGCCCCCCATGTCGCCGCGCCAAACTGCCGCCGGTCGCTGCGGCCTCGCACCAGGCCAACCCTCAGCAACTGGCGAACCAGTCGTCGCGCGAATCTTCATATATTACGTGTGTATGTATCCGATGATTTTAGATATATACATATACATATATGTATATATACAGATGCACATGCAATCTTATATTGTACGCACACGCGTACATAAGATGGGCAGGCATGCGCGCACAGAGGTGGCACTGCGCGGTGCCATTCGACAGCGTGTTTTTGGGCTCAAGAATTGGCTCGTGGTGTTTTCATTCGGCGCCAGGTAGACCCATGCCGTCTCAAGGGCGGAAGTGGTGAAGAAGGACGACATCCTCGGTGCGTGCGGAGGCCGCCCGCGACAGCGGATGATGAGGGGCAGAGGCAGCAGTGACCCAGGACCCCGAAAAGGCCCCGAGGATCATGATGAGGCAAGGTGAAGGAAGACATTGTCCGTCACCTCGGGCAGCATGGTTCGGCAGCAGCGAGCAGCAACGCGTTCTGTGGCCAGTCAGGAGCAGATTTCAGTTAGTTGTTGCGTGTGCCAGTGAATGGCGTACCGCCCGAACTTGTGCGGTTGCTTCCGTATGACAATCATTTGGATAAGATCATGGTGCAAAAGAATGCGACGCCGTCGGATGCGAAGCAGGCGACGGTGCAAGACGCATGCGACGACATGGGTTGAAGAATTCTGAACATGGTGGTCATGGAAAGGGCATCGTTCAACGAGGTATATGAAAACGCTATGACGGAAGCAGCTTTGCAGCACATGACGCGCAGCGTAAATGAAGGAGGCACGGACGGGCATGGTGGCGGTTGCGCAACTTCCCGCGCAGAAGAACGTGCGAGTGTTCAGTTCGCGCACGAAGCATGGCGGGATCATGTTGTCGCGTTGGCTACCAATCTATTGAGCGACCAAGACAATGGTCGCGCACGATGCACATGAAAAGGAGTGTCGGATATCGCGAGGCTCGGAGAAGCGTCGCAGCGGCACAATCCGGCGCTGATGGACGTGAACGGACGGGGGACGTGGATGGAAAAGATGCGGCTGCGCCTCGTGGTGTCTCCAGGCACGGCCATTATGAGTCAGTTTGTTCCGTGTTTCTTCGGCGTCGTTTTTCTTTTTCTGCTTCAAGTTTGGGGTGGGCATGCCTGATATGCCAGAATGGTCCGAAGTGAGCCGACACCGGCGTGTCGGAGAGGCACCCCGCGTGGAACTTCCGCTGTGGACGCGAATCATGACACGCCGCGTGGAATCTCAGCTCCGGCGCGACTGGCGCTTCGGGTTCACGATGTCGTCCTTGTTGTGCCAAAGCGCATTGAACACGTCCCGGAGCATGCGGCTGTTTGCAGATCATGAGCAGAGGGAGGACGAATCGGGTCGCGACTTTACTTATATGGAGGAGGCTGCCGTAAGCATAGTAGAAGCACTGCGAGGAACGTACCCAGATCCAGGCACTGGACAGCGGCGCGCAGTGAATGGGGACGTGTCGAAGGTGAAATTCGTCGCGTCATTATCGGAGACCGCGCAGAGAATGGCGCGGCGAGCGCAGGCCATCAATAAGAAGATCGCAGGAACAAGTGAGGTACGTACCATTATGCGGTTCGATACCCACGCTGGTCGGGTGGCTCAAGGCGCCCCCGTATGTTTTACGATGTCCCCAGATAAAAGGCACAACCTCGTCATGGTACGGCTGAGTAGGTCGCGCCGAAAGGACCCAGTCAACAGGCGTCGGGTGCAGGAGAAACAAGGCCCGTCGAATGGCGGATTGTTCGAACCCGATTTCACAAGCGCATGCGGCGTGCCATTCGAGGACGAGGCGGTGGAGGGCGACGCTGACGATGCGAACAGGGCGGCACCCATGGACGTCTTATGCCAAAACGCTGCAGCGGCCAAGATGCGCTTGGAGTGCTTGGCACGGGGCCCTCTGGCGGGCGTCGACGGCTTTCGCGCAATCGTAGGCCTGGTGTTGGAGCGCCTGTTCGGGATTCGATGGTGTCCGCAGTGTCCCGACTGTGATTGCGCGGATCTGGCAGGTAGTAACGCGAAATTGGCATGCGGGTGCGCGGGGCGAGTGGAGGGCGTGGACGGCCCCATAGAAGCTCAGAAATCCGCGGGCAGTTTACACTTGCACGCGCAGTTGTTTGTCCAAAGCCTCCATCAGCACACGCCGCTGCGCGAGATTATTCGCCGCCCCCCGAACGAGCTGTAGCGCCTGATATGCGGGCACGCAGCATTTAAAAGGCTGGTGTCGCGGCAAGTATACGCAGATGCGGCGGGACGGCAGAGGCAGAAAGAGCACGTCGAAAAAGACTGGCCTGCGTACAAGGGCACGGAAGAGCTCATTCGGGCAGAAGGTTACCTGAAGCAGACCGATGCGGAGGCGCAGCGAACCCTAGAGGGGACCCAAGAGCTCAGCCCAGGGTCTGAGAGGGGGAGCGCTTCTAAATGGTGGTTCCGAACATATTTGAGATGTGTGCAGAGGGGCCAGGGATGCCGTCAGAACCACGTACACAAGTGGAGCCATCGGCATTTTAAATTTGCGCCCTTGCTCCACTGTCAACGAGATGACGACCCTCTGAACGAGAGCTTTTTCCCTCGGACGACGTGGCTGGTGGAGAAGACCGTGCTTTTGTGCCCAGGGTTTCAAACAAAAGCACTCCATGCCGCGTGGAGGGCGCAGAGATATGACTGGATGCCTACACGAGCCACAGAATGAAGAGAACCTCAACGGGACATTGCCTGCATTGTTAAGCGGCGGCCTTGGATTGAATTCTAGACGCTTCGCGTATCCCCACCAGCCCGTCCAGAAATGAGTCCCAGGGGAGTGGAGGTTATGAGGGAAGCGGGGGAGCATGCAGAAGAACAGAGGGCGGGGTGAGCCGCCATATACCCCAAGAGGGGGAGGATGTAGGAGGAGCCGTCGTCGTCGGAGTAGGAGGAGGAAGAGGAGGAGCAGGAGGAGGAGCAGGAGGAGGAGGAGGAGGAGGAGGAGATAAGGAGGAGGAGATGGAGGACTGCGAGGACGAGGAGGACGAGAAGGAGGAAAAGGAAAAGGAGGAGGAGGAGGAGGAGGAGGAGGAGGAGGGGGGAGGAGGGAGGAGGAGGAGGAAGAAAAAGAGGAGGAGGAGGAGGACAATGGCGAGCTTGGAGGCCTCTTGGGGTCGGAGCCTCTTGGGGTCCCGGGGGCCTCTTGGGGGGAGCCTCTTGTGGCCTCTTGGGGGTCTAGGCGCTCTTGGGGCCATCTTGGAGGAGATCTATCAAAGAAGGGGGGGTCCTCAATTAGCGCTGCCCCTCTAGAGTGCCTCGAATCGCTTCTTGGGCCCTTCTTGAGGCCAAAATCTTTCCAAAACCTAGGTAAAATCAATGTTTTGTGTTTTCTCGCCTTTTCGCTCTTGGAGCCGTCTTGGGCCGTCTTGGGAGCCTCTTGGGCCTCTTGGAGGTCTCTTGGGAGCCTTTTGGAGGCCTCTTGGGCGCCTCTTGGGGCCTCTTGGGGCGCTCTTGGGGCGCTCTTGGGGCGCTCTTGGGAGCCTTCGGGGCGCTCTTGGGGCCATCTTGGAGGAGATCGATCAAAGAAGAGGGGGTCCCCAATTAGCGTTGCCCCTCTAGAGTGCCTCGAG